CTGCCCAGATGTTAGAAGTCGACTCAAAAGTCTCACTTATTGTCTCTGGATGAATCCTGGCGTGCCTTATGGTTTCTCGTTCGGTCTTTTAAGTCAGTGAAGCCATGTTCAGGAGGATAGCTGTTCATCAGATGTATACTTCGATAGTGTTTGGATCTTTCGATCTAACTTTCAGATACAGCATAAGCTTATATCTGATAAAAGATTCTGGATACCGAAAGATTTTAGTGGTCTGATTTGTCTGTATTATATGTTTTTGGTTATATAAATAAAAAGTAATTGCACTAATATGAACTCGTCTGTCCAGAAAGGTCATCCCTGTTCGATATTGTTGATAAACCCAGCAACGCTAGTATCATTCTTTTCGAGGTTGCTCTCGAGGAAAAACCTTACAACCAGTGATCACATCCACAAGTCCCTGGATCAGACAAGACGACAGCGCTGAGAGCTGCAAAGGTTCTGAATTCGGCCAAGACAAAGCCTCGCGAGAGAGAGAAGTGTTTGCATCATCATTGGACAACATTTACGCTTTCATTCGTCCATCTAATAATCTTCCCAACGTCTTATCATCTCCAGGAAAGATTATGAACCGCCCCAACAAGTCCCTGAGAGAACGTCTGCTCATGAAGGAACTTCAGCATCATCAACAACAATGCTCCAAGCGAACTCTCACCAATCAGTTGACAACAAGAACCCCGATTTCCATCCTTCTCACTCCAACTTGGCTGTAGGCAAATGCAATTCCACCACCCAGATATCAACGAACATATACACCGTGGATTGTATCAACGTCTTTAAGATTACCTGGTATAGTTATCCATGATACAATCAGCGATGTGATAGTTGAGATTTTTCTTAATATATCAATCAATATTATGATATAGCGATGGTATATGGCATAATAGACAAAACTTAAAGCTTGTCTATACTTGGTTGGTCCCAGTTTATGTCTTCGGTTTGGTAGCTAGAAACTGCAGTTATATTGAGAGCGTCGCTCAATAATAGTATTATGCATGTTCTATTGACAATACTGAGTTGTATTAGTATGAGTTTCTGCGTTCCCGTTGATAACGTGCAGCTCAATTGATGAAGAATCAGGCCTCGGGTCTGCAGATTTCACTTTTTCCTCGCTTTGTTGTCCATTAGTTTGAAAAGGTTCAGGTTTGAAGCTCCCGTGGGATAAAAGGAATGTGCACGATGAGAAACTCAGGTCTGGATGGTCATAGTTCAAGTTAGTTCTTTTCGATGTCATTCCTGCTGGGGTGCAGTGGAGAAAAAATTCCGTGGCCAATAATCACATCCGCAGACACCAACAGAGTGCAAAGTGCTGCTCTGAAGATTTGGCTCATCTGCTTGATCATTCTCAAGGAACGGAAATGAAGCAGAAAATTTTCTGGATGGTCAGAACGAAGCAATTTCTCAAAGATTTCGCCTCGGCCTGTGTCCATCAAAATGTTCTCATCTGTATGAAAGAATTCGAACAACCCTCACCCCCACATGCCATGGAAGAACATCTATGATAAGTCAATAATTCAATGCCTCCGATAGTCAAGGCTTAGCCATCATATAGTTTCCTGCAATTTCCAAAGCCAAATCTCACCTTCTCAACATTACTCACAGCTTGCAGTCTCCGGTATGCTCATCATATTCGACCGCAAGCGGGAAAAGATCAGAGAGAGGTTGCAGGAAGCTGCTCACATCGGATGATCGCTGGCAAGCATTCAAGCACGCGGTCCCTCGACTGCGCAGAGCGGGAAGTGATCGCTGCTCGGTCGCCCGCCTCACGCTGTGCCCTCCACATTATCCCCCCAGACTCCCCAGGCTTCCGCCGAGGAGCCCAGATCAGAGACTCCGCGCTTCGAGCGGACGTGCCTTCGACATGATCCCAACGGTCCTCGGCAAGAGCCCCTGCTCCCATCTCTCTTACTCCCGCTCGGGTTACAGACAGCCGCTATGCTGCCCAGATGTTAGAAGTCGACTCAAAAGCCTGACTTATTGTCTCTGGATGAATCCTGGCGTGCCTTATGGTTTCTCGTTTGTCTGATAGGTCTATGTGGCCATGTTCCGGATGATAGCTGTTCCTCCGATATGTTGGTTGATAGTGTTTGGATGTTTCCACGTACCTTTCCCTGGATCAAATACAGCATAAACTAATACCTGACCAATGATTCTGGATACCGAAAGATTTCAGTGGTCTGATTTGTCTGTCTTTTATTTTTGTAAATAAAAAAAAAGAGTAACTGCACTGAAATGAACTCCTTTATCTAGAAAGTCATCCCTGTTCGATATTGTTGATAAATCCAGCAACTCTAGTATCATTCACTGCGAGGGTGCTCCCAAGGAAACCTTACAACCAGTAATCACATCCACTAGTCTCTCGATCAGACAAGATGACAGCGCTGAGAGCTGCACAGGTTTGGAAATTCGGCCCAGACAAAGCCTCGCGAGAGAGAAGTGTTCGCAAGATCAGTGGACAACATTCAAGCGGGAATCGGTCCATCTGATCATCTTCCCAACCTCTTATCATCTCCAGGAAAGATTGTAAACCGCCCCAACATGTACTTGAGAGAGAACTTCTTTTCAAGAAGGAACTTCAGCATCATCAACATCAATGCTCCAAGCCAAGTCTCACCAATCAGTATTTTCCTCAGATCTGTCTGTAGTTACTACTTAATATCAACTATGGACCCAAAACAGATGAGTGAGAGTCAAATCGGAAGTAGCTGCTCGCATGGGAATGCCAATGACAACCACACAACCATGCTGTCCCTTGCGTGCGCTCGGTCTGGAAAGAAGATGTGGTGGGAGGCACAGCGTGAGCCTGGTCACGCTGTGACTTCCACCACATCGTCTCTCCGGACTCCTGATCACTTTGAACATCACACGTTCCACAGTAGTCCAACAGACTGGATCGTGGATTAGGAAATGCCAATTTCATTCCCTGACATGAGATGTGACAAGTGCTCAAGGAAGCAGCGAGGCAACTCTTCCCTTAATGGGCTGCTATCGATATTTGGATGCCCCATTGTCATCACTTTGCGCTGGGATGTGCAGAGGTACATCTTTTTAACCCCGGAAAAGCATCCAAGCAGGACGGAGTGCACATTGATGTTACGATAAATTTGTCGAGCCGACAAGAAAAGAAGAAGGATTGACATTGAATATGAGAGGATCTGTATGAATATTCGGTCGCAGATGTCTTTTATCAAATTGGCCTTCCACAGGATCACCTCCCGAGCTAGAGTCACTCTTCTTGGAAGAATCCACTCATCAGATAATCCTCACGCACAGATAGGATCTGCAGTTTTGAACGAGTAAAAGCATGGGCCCAATGGGAAACAGAATGCAGAAAGAGGTGGCAGGAAGCTGCTCAAGGCTAGGCTAGGCTAGGCCATCATATAGTTTTTTGCAATTTCCAAAGCCAAACCTGCCTCACCATGTCAACGTTACTCACAGCTTGCAGTCTCGGTATGATCATCATATAAGACCGCAAGCGAAAAAAGATCAGAGAGAGGTTGCAGGAAGCTCTTCACGTCGGATGATCGCTGACAGGCATTCAAGCACGCGGTCCCTCGACTGCGCAGAGCGGGAAGTGATCGCTGCTCGGTCGCCCGCCTCACGCTGTGCCCTCCACATTATCTCCATAAGACTCCCCTGGCTTCCGCCGAGGAGCCCAGATCAGAGACTCCGCGCTTCGAGTGGACGTGCCTTCGACATGATCCCAGCGGTCCTCTGCGAGAGCCCCAGCTCCCATCTCTCTTACTCCCGCTCGGGTTACAGACAGGCGCTACGCTGCCCAGATGTTAGAATACGACTCAAAAGCATCTCTTATTGTCTCTGAATGAATCCTGGCGTGCCTTATGGTTTCTCGTTCAGTGTCATATCAGTGATGAATTGTCCAGGAGAGCTATTCATCAGATGTAGTGCATTTTTTATTCCTTGATAGAGTGTAGATATTCTTATGGGATTACTGCCATTCCGTGGATCATTGATAACACAAACTAATAGCTGTGTTATTAGCAACCTTTCAGAGGTGCTGTCGATGACATTTTTCTGCGATCGATCATATTCAATAGTCCACTGATCAGTAAACAACAGTCTGCTTTCAATTTTTTCAATTCCTAAGGCTTACAAATAGACCGTACCTAATTCGGAAGAATTCCTACCCACGGGATAAGGGAACTATTGCAAGACAATCAAGCGGAAACAAAGCCAAGACGAGGGAGTCGAAATACAGTCCCAACCTAAGGAAAATGATAATGAGGAACGTGAAAACTGTCTCCAGATAAGTTTCTATCTTTCCCAAAATCTTTGGGAAACTCTGATAAAAATCTTTGGGACTTGAGCTTGACTCATCTCCTGTTGAACATCATTATCAATGTTAATGCTGTGCTAACATTTTCAACAAACAAGAGAAGGAGGCAACACTCAATACTGAACTGAGACTAAACACACACTTGTGCCAAATACTGGAACATTGCAATCACATCATTATTCTTCATAATGCAATATCATTCTATTCTTCATGCCCAAAAGACTCGACCACAAATAGATAGAGAGCAAAACACCATAATACATAATTATAATATGCCTGTACATGATCTGTGACAGAGCGAGGATGGATACATGAGTTTCTGACATTGTCATAAGAGGAACTCTTATTTGCCTTCACTATATCATAGCTTTTCAGAAGCCTGCAGTTCAAGTCGAAAACGGGCAAAAGGGTGACTCTTGTAATAAAATGCACGATGGCCGAAGAATCATCACAAGTAAAAAGATGCATGATGTTCTAGAACAGCTCTCCAAAGCCCCACGGTATTAGCTGCCCAGCCTTGATTCTCCTTAAATTACCGGAATCTTGTATCCTCACCTACCTCTCTTTACAATTAATTATCTAAACCAAAATATTACGTATCATAATTTATTATCTAATTCATGGTAAATCTAGCAAAAGCAAAAATTGATGACATCCAACAGATACCTATAATCATGGATGACATCAATTTTTGCTAGATCACGGATTAAAGATATATATTATGTATTCATACCTTCTAAAACTGTGTGGAGTACTAAAACTTACTGGGATTCTTTCTTCCTCCTTGTATATATAGTATGTCAAGATTCATAAATATACCAACAATAGCAAATCTTCAAGTATTCCTGGACCTGCTTTTCGGATTCGGCAACAGGAAAATTTTGGGCCAATGCTTCCAGTGATAGGAGTGACAATTTGCTGCCCTTGGGCGAACTGGAGACGTCGAGCATGAAAGCCTTGTGCATCACGACTTCTGAGCAAAAATCGTCCGGGAAGCTGTTCTGGATTTTGCCCTTGACCTCCTCCGAGACGCCCTCGTCCTCGTCATTTGACTTCGATCATCATCTTTCGAATCTTCCTGCGAGTCCAGAAGGTCATTCAAATCCAGTTACTCAAGAGACGGACTCTTATCGTCCTCGGAACTGGAAATCTCCTCGGAAAAAAGACGGGAGCTGGAAGTCGGATCCCCAGTCCCGCCTCCAATGAACAGCTTCTCGACACCGATTATTTCCGCATCCGGATCCGCTATAAACAATCTCCAAGAATCCACCGAATTGTACACAAGAGACGGGTCCCGTCGAGGTTTAAGAACCTGAAGCTCGGTTCAATCGGCAGCGATGCGGTAGCGTCGGCCGCAGATGGCTCCAACGCAGCGTACGAACGATTTGAATGTTCCACCTCACGCTGAAATTTCCACCCATTTCTCTCATCCCGCTGCAGATATGCCCTCCAGACGCTCTTCTCGCCAACGGACGTTATTCCGAGCCAACTCGAGTTTGAAAGCTCCTCGCGTTGAGAGCACATTCCCTTCAGCAGATTTTGAATTTTTTTAAATAATGTGTCCTGATTTCACTTGAACGATTTTTGAACATTGTGTCTTTATTTGACTTGAGCGAACGTATGAAAGGGACACGTACCACATCAGAGTACCGGGCTCCGATGATTCTGGAGTCTGACTCCCTTCTCTAGCGCAAGCTTCGTGTGAAGTGTGAAGACTCCACTTCCAGTTCAGGTGATGTTTTACTATCCAGAGATTATCATAATTTGCTCAATTTTGCGCAGGTGCAGTTTGGGATGGCATCTGAGTATGAGCCTCTCAATAAAAGATAAGCTTGGAATGGAACAATTCGGGTACGTGGATCTGCTCACTTTAGGGGCCACGCAAACGAGTCCAATCGTGGCCACAACTGCAGTAAATTGTTGGTCTCAGTTCAGGTCGGATAATTCATGATCCTGCAGCCCGGATACATGCGATATGACAACTGCGCTTTAAGTTGTGGAAAAATCTCACCGCGAATCGCGAGAAAATTCTTTGAATCCGTCCACTTCATTCGCATGAACGCCTTCCAGCATAGTTGCTACATCTGTTTCACAGTCCACAGGTCTCGTCCATATATCTCTGATGAAAGTCGGCAGACTGATTTTGTGACCTTCTCATCGGGGACATTGGCGGATCCTGCTAGAGTGAGAATTATGTATGGCAAGGCCCTCGCTGTCGAGCATGTTGGATCGGAAGCCCACACCTGGGACTTGGGTGCTTTTACTGCAGGTGGTCAGATCCGCTTACATACAGAGCTCATCTTCAATAGTAGGAACTTGATTACAACTCTGCGGCTGTTGCTTAGCCGGAGGTCTACTGAAATGCCCGTTCAGTGCTCGTAAGGTTATGACTCGAATTGATTCCTTTCATAATGTTTATTTTTGAGTCCAGTCGAGTATCGTCCATTGATGGAAGCGTTCAGGATCTTACTATACAGCATTCAAACCTCGAGATGATCATAGTTTACAGAGTAGTAGTTACAGAATCAACAAATTGACACGCTCCTGCTCGCCGCTGGTTCTGCAACTTCCTGTCTCACTAATCATTTTTGGCGCAAACTTCGACTACACAGTTCTGATCAACTGCGCATCAACCTTCCAACACTTGAGTTACCCATTTGAAGCTTCAAACGTAGGATACGATTTGGTCGTGAAGATACGATAGACACGACATTGAGTGAACTTTACAGTGACTACCAGAAGTATCGGCTGAAATCGCACCTTCATCCGAAGCCAATTTAGTCGAGTAAGCAAATCTTTGGTTTCATGCATGCATTGCAATAGGAGATGAGTTCCAATAGATATGGAGGTATTTGATCTGGGGTTGACTCATTGCAGAGTCAAAGTTGGGCGTGTTGTGATTGAAGTTTTCAATGTAGTAAGAACACAATTAGAATTATAAATGTATGGTATGATTTCATATTTTAATTTTAAATTTTATAAGTTACAAGATATATAAACCCTATGCGAATTAAGAATAAAATAATCTAATGATTAGTTTAAAGTGGTTAATCAATTGAAAATATATTATGATCAAAATATATTTGCTAAAAGAACTGAAGTAAGGGGAGTGATTTAAATTTTTTTTCATGGCAATGATTTACATATTTTGATTAAATTATCATAAAAAACTCATTATTTTCTAGTCAGTTTTTGTGTGAAGTGAGAAGTGTTCTTCATTAAGTATATGCATTGTGGTATAAAGATTAACTCTTAAAGGTTTGAAATAACTTAGATAGCAAAATGTTCACAATGAGTTATGTATTATCAAGAGAAAAATCAAAATTACACAAGAAAAAGCTTATGGAGTTAATAAAGTCAATTGTACATTTATACAAAAACACTTTTTTGAAATCAAAAAATGTAAAAATTTGTTAGTTAGAGAGTAACAAAGAAAGGACTGCAATGAATATCCATATATCCATACCGATGGGTACCCAATACCCACCCATATCCTGGGTGAATGGATGGGTAATGAATATGGTCTAGGATGCATGGATGGGTACAAGGAATGGGTACCCATGGAAATGGATATCCATTGCAGTACTATGTTTTTTATATCTATATAAGTGAGCGTTTTAGCCCTTTGCATCTTTTTTATGGATGTACACTTCCAAAAAGAAACGCTTAGTGTTTAGAAAGATTTTCAAGCAGAATAAAATTGACTTTTCTATATTTTGAGGTCTGAAGGTCGAGATCGACAAGAGAGGCTTTTGCGTACTCAAGATGAAAACTTATATGTTCAAGATACCCGTACTCAACGAATTATAGGACGGCCCGACAAATGGAGTCAATCAATAGGCTCCAACCGAAAATCATGAGACGAGACCTTTGGGTAATGGCCATGTCACGCGTTTGAAGGGTTCACTTGCATATAGTGACATTATGTATTGATGGCATCATCTCCGCGGAACCCGTAGGGAAAAGTCCCCGAATCCCGACCCAGGCAAACACCAAAGCTGGCACCATCGGGTTTTTTACAGTCGGGTTTTGTTTGGTTTTTTAATTAAATCCGACAGCCTCCGAGGCTCCAAAATCAGGTTTTATTCTCCACGAGTGCTTTAATGCGTGACTCACGCACGATCCGGCCACCGATCCTTGCAACTGCAAGTACGCCAACATACAATATTCTATTGTCAACGTATTAGCAAGATTAGCACTCTCTAGTTAGTACTACTAACTACTATGTCGCAATCGTCGTTTTCTCCAAGCTAGTTTGACAAGCCTGTCGATAATTTCAACGATGAAGTTCTCGATCTTCAACCGCAAGACGCGCAGGTCGCCATGGAGTACATCGAAATGGTCGTCGTTGATGATGATATTGCGATGGAAGTCCTGGCGCCGAAACGGACATGCGGTCGCTCTGCTAGCGCGGTCTGGAACTGGTTCACCGATGATGCGTCTCCGCAAAATGCCAAGAGTGCCAAATGCATGCACTGCAAGACTCTGATTAATCACCATAAGAAGAGTGAGAGCGCGAAGGTGCACCTCAACTCGTGTGCCAAGTTCCACACATTCATGAACGGCTTGAATGATGATGAACGTCCTGATTGGTACAGACAAAACAAGAAAGGTGGAGCCACCAACAAGGCGGCAGTTGACTCTCAGCGTGGCAAGAGCCAAGCTGTCAGCAGCATCCAGAGTTCCATCAAGTCCTTCGCGCTCCCGAAGGTGACCGGATCCATGAAGCAGGCGTTTCAAAAGCAGATGGTGTTGCATTACTTCGCCACATGCACCTTGTTCCAGCGGATCGAAGATGTGCATTTCAAGGAGGCCATCAAGATTCTCCGTCCTGATGATGGGTTGCTGTCGAATCGGAAGCAGCTGGTGACCACACTCCTCGACCAATGTCACCAGGAGCTAAAGACGAAGGTCGACTAGCGCATGAAGAACGCGCCTGCATGTCTCACAACAGACGGCTGGTCGAACATCAACAACGAGTCAGTTGTGAACTACATGGCCGTGTCAGCGAGTTGCTCCTTGTACTTGGAGGCAGTGTAGACTGGTCAACAAGGACATGATCACGAGTTCATTGCCAAGGATGTTGAGCGCATGTTCACGACATACAAGGACACGACATTTGCAGGCACGGTGATGGACAACACCAGCGCCAACAAGAAGGCATGGGAAGTTTTCAAGACAAATTACCCGTCCCGCTTCTTCCAGCGCTGTACCTCTCACGGCCTACACCTCCTTGTCAAGGACATTTTCTGTGGGACAAAAACCAACAGGGCGGGCAGCACCTAACCGACGTATCCGGTCGACTACCTGTTCGCAGATATGTTGATGTTCATCAACGAGTGCAAGGAAGTTGTCAAGTTCTTTCACAATCATCATGTGGCCAAGGCGCAGCTCCAAGAGATGCAAAAGACCACGGGTGCGAGAGCTCTTGTTCGCCCGTGTCCGACGCGCTGGGGCACGATTCAGCAAGCATGCAAAACCCTGCTCGCTTCAGAACAACATCTGCATGCGATCATCTCGGCGCGCGATTTCATCAAAGGAACGGCGGCCCAGGAAAAGGAGCGCCAAGATGTCAAAGACACGATCACCAACTCCAAATTTGTCACGTTATTGAAGAAGGCCATTCTGGAGACGATTGACGTCCTGATCGTAAAGTACCAGTCCGACAAAGTCCCAATTTCGGAGGTGCTGCCGGATTTCCCCAAGTTGCCCCAAAAGTTCTCGCAGTTGTTGGACAACCGCATCATCAATGACGAGGAGCTCGCGTACCTGTGCAACAAGAGCGCGTCGTGGTTCCCGTTTATGTATAGCAACGCTCACTGTTTGTCGTACATGCTGGACCCGCGGTTTATCGGAGAGGGACTGCCGAGGGGCACCCGCTTACAGCTGGAGGACGTCTTGTTTAACTTTCCTGTAGACGACGAACCCCTCGATTCATTCGATGAAACACGAGCGCAGAACATTGGCATTCAGTGGACCGAGTTCATGATTGCGGCGGAACAAGAGAAGGCGGAGGACTCGACGCGTTTCAAGATGCTGGCCAATGGCGCCAAGACCGTATTGCAGTACTGGTTGGTCGATGGCAAGGACCGGCCCGATCTGCGCCAGATCGCTGTGGTACCCCACTTCTGGCAATTTTGAGGAAATTAAAACATTTTAGGAAAACTGTACCCTGGCAGCATTGTAAATAGCCTTCGGTACATCAAAACAGAGTGAATCCGGAAGATCGCGGGGATTCTCGAGGGATCTTGTAAAATCTGGGATTTGGGGTGCCGCAGTAAGGACAGGCACCACCCTCCCTGCGAGCTCTGCAGTTAGGATCTCTACGGCGCAAGGCGCAAAACCCGCCTTCGCAGGTTGCGTCCGCGGCTGTAGGGAAACCCTCCATAATTAGGTCAACCCTCGGGCGCCTTGACCAAGTTAGGATCCCGTTGGAAAGAGCTCGACGCGCTGATTCCAACGAGCCCAAGAACGCTTGGAACGGATGAGGACTTAGGGAGTTATCGCTATTGGAAGAAACGGAGGCGGTCGCCTACGGCGGAAGGAGTTCGCCACCGGCGCGAATTCCGCCTACGCGGAAGGGGGAATCAAGTTTTGTCCTATGCGCGGACGAAGGCGTTCGCCTGTGCACAGGCGAAGTAGGGTTAGAGAAGGCGCGAAGTCCGCCTACGCACAGGCGTTCGCCTGTGCACAGGCACATCGGCGTCGGCGGAAAATCCGCCTTGGGCCCTAGAAATGCGCCTTGTGAGGTAGAAAGTGTACGGCGCCTTCCGCGCAAGCGCAGCGCCGCGTACGTCGGAAGAGCCGCCAGGGTAATCCAATCGGTACGGACCATGCGGACGGCACGGGTGGATGCGCTCTTGGACGGACGGAGTTGCGGCGGCGGAAGCGCCGACGGAGAGACAAGGAACGGACAGACTGGACGGAGACGGCTGACCACGGTCAACGCCTTCCGCGCCAGCGCAGCGCCGCGGACGGAATTCGCCTGCGCACAGGCGAACGCCTGTGCACAGGAGGATGTTCAAGTTCCGCGCCGGCGGAGAATCCGCCGAGGCTCCTGCCTGCGCACAGGCAGGAGTTGAATTTTTGTCCGACATGCGGACACACGCGTCAAGGCAGAGGGGGATTGGCCGAGGGGCGGTACGAACAAGTGTACCGCGCAAGGCGGAAAACTCGCCTTCGGCGCTACGCCCCCATGTCCGCAGGGTGACACGCTCGCGGAGTTCAAATCCGCCAATTCGAGCGTGAGAGTTTAATCGACGACGGCGGAGCGTGAAGCCGCGCGTGAGAGCGAAGACCGTTCCAGCGTACAGCCGGCGCGGCCATCAAGTGAGACGTTCTTCACGACCAAGAGCCGACCATGACCTTCGACCGGGCGGCGGAGAACGTCCCATTCTTGAATTCGCGATTCCAATCTCTTGTGCGCGCTGCGCGCATCCATCTGCTGGCTGCGGAACATTCTCGACGTCGTCGCACAGGAGATTTCTTGTTGATTGAAGGAGAAGTGAGTGCGCGTGATTTGGAATTGAGGGCGATTAGAGTTTGCCGAGAGAGAAAGAAGCGCGGGCAGTGCGGAAGTAGAATGAGCGGGCGAGCGAACCCCAGGAACGCAATGACGAGACCGAGCAGATTGCGGATGGTGCCACTTCGCGTGCCGCAGAACGGGCTGCGCGCTTTCGAGGAGCGCTTAATAGCAAGAAAGCTCGATTTCTTGCTATGGGGATGGAATTACATCTGTGCGAATATGGTGCGCGAGTGGCTAGAGCCACAGGGACCACCCTCGCGCGGATTGCGTCCGCATGTTGATCGGTGGACAGTCCAAGATTGGGCGCAGGCGTTGGGAAGATGTGCTGGCATGCCAGGGCATCTCCTTTTCGACAGTGAGAGCATCAAGGTGACCAAGCAAGAAGAGGCGCAATTTGTGGAGCTGTTCAAGACCGGGAGGTCTACCAAGAATGGGTACAGGACCCGTGATTACAAGGATCGATTTCGCCGGACTTTGTCCGCGGCGCTGATGCAATTACTGCAGCCGCACCGCGCCTGCTACATCACATTGTGGCAGGTCTCTTTTGTGGAGTGCGTCATCGAGGGAACTCCAATTCACTGGGCGAGCATCTTGCACAGGGTGATGCGACAGCACGCGTTTGAGGAGAAGGGGGGAACTCTAAACCATCTTTCTCCTTTCCTCATCAATTTTTATCGACAGCGGAATTGTTTGACAGCGGCGGAGCTTGAACATTTTCCGCCATTGTCCATCGACCATCCCGGGAAGTATGTGCGGGAGAACGAGGTCGATACTGATGCAGAGGAGTCACCGACTTCGACCCCATCAAGACGGAGGGACGAAGGGAGACACACTCCTGCACCGCGAGTGCCGCGGAAGCGGCGATGGAGGGAAGAGTCCGAAGAGGAGCAGCATCAAGAACCCTCTGCTCCCATTCGACCGCGGCCGCTGTGCGAGCCATACAGCCAGCCGAAGCAGAAGGCACGCAGACTGGTGTTACCAGCTGACAGTGCGGACACGGCGACAATTGCGACGGAGATAGGAAGTGCGTCGCCAGAGAGGCGAGAGGAAGCGCGGACGACCGCAGGAGCGACGGGCCACGCTGCAACCTCGACGGGAGAGAGGCCGCCTACGGGTCAAGGGCCTCCGGAGTTACCACGTGCGATGCGGACAGATGTTCCGTTTGCGCACAGGCGAACCTCCGCGGACGGACGAGCCTCCGCGGACCGGCGAACACAAGTGGACGTGGATCTACGCTTACGCGTGGGAAGGAGCAGTCCGCCTGTGCATAGGACCCCTCCACACGTGCCGCCTGTGCACAGGCAAGAATCACCCCCGTTCCAACGGAGGAAGGGGAAGGAGCCGGCGGAAGAACCGCCTACGAGACACCGGCCCTCGGGGCCAGACCCTCCGGCGCACCACGCGCCGCAATTTGCGCCTTCGGCGCCAGGGCCTTCGAGCCGAGGAGATACGAGCAGAGAGCGTGCGGAGGCCGCACCATCGGCGGGAAGTCCGCCGATAGATGCGCCTTCGGCGGTAGGGCCTATAGGCCAAGGAACATCGGGCGTGCGGCCCCCGGCCATATCGCCTTCGGCGATAGATGTCCGCGGCGCTACGCCTGCGGCGGACAAGGCGCCGGCAAATGCGCCTGCACACGGGCCGGGCACAGCCCCCACGGATCGATCAAGGGAGCAGCAACAGACGGAGGAGCGGAGTGACTGTCCGCGGGATGAAATCTCGATGCGCGATGCGCAATCAAACCCCGCGCAGTCACCATCCGCTCGATCGCCTTCGGCGGCGGACGACGGAGGCAGAGAGGACGCGGTAGGCAATCAACAAGCGAGCGATGGGGATGCCGCACGGGTACATTCGCCTTCCGCCTTAGACATTTTGGCGACGAGCAGCGAGGCTGCAGCCGTGCCTTCGCAGGCAGCACACGTCGACGACGTGCAGCCCCACTCGGGGCAGTCGCCGACGCAATCAATGGCGACTGAAATTCTCCACTCGGATGATGACGACGGAGGCTCCACGGAAGAAATGTCAGGAGCAGAAGACACCGAGGAGGAGGAGGAGGAAATTGTTGGAGCGCCGGCGGCGGCGCTCTCTGAGCAGGTGATTCCGTTGCTGCGGTACTTGGATCGCAAGGTCGATAAATACGCCGACCCACTCCAGCCGGGATCTTACATCGAGTTAGTGCGCAGGCGGACTCGCACTAAAGTCCACACCAGCAAGCTATTAGCTAGAGTGGACCAGGAGTTGAGGGACTTGAAGGAGAAGCATGCGTGCTTGTGGGGTCAGTACAAGCTTAATCAGAAGTTCTACAAGCACACCGAGAAGATGAAGGATGAGAAACTGGGCGAGCTCACCAAGGAGCAGGTGAAGGTCAAGGAAGCACTCGATTCTGAGCAGGCCCAGA